ATGGGCAGCACTCTGATCGGGTGACCCGTGCGCCCCAGCTTTAGCCACACATTTTCTGCCTAGTCTTTAAGGTCAGTGTTTAGGGTGTTAGACACATGTATGTATTTCAGTAGTCTGACAAGGAGGCAGACTATGTACATATGCACCTTTTGATGGCTGCAGTTGCAAGCAGTATCAGTTTAAACTCTTACTGAATTGCAACTGTCACTTTAATTCAGTTTTGCAACTGAAAGTAGGAAAGCACAGTATACATGATCAGCTGGTTTTCCTGGGGTAGTACCCGACAATCTCTATAGCAAATAACTGAAACAGTTCCTGCTATTTAGATATTCTGCTGTTACAGCTGGGCAAGACTTTTTCAATAAATAGTCAATCATGCAGTGGCTGGATGGAAAGTTTATCATCTTCAGCTTGTTTGTGAATTTGCTGTGGCACCTGTGAATAGTTTTAGATAGAAATACTTTTTCAGTGTCTGGCTCACGAACAAACAAAAAACCACAAAATGCAGACCCTTGTGAAAGAAAACTTGTCATGTTTACAGAGGCTTTGAAGGGTCTGGATTTGGTCCCTCCTTCTGCTCCTGTACAGTCTGAAACATCTTCCACCCACTTTCAGCTGCTGAGTATTTGGGGGTGTTTGGCATCACTCCTGTTGTTAACACTGTCACCAGTGCATGTCAGAGGTTCCAGGCACAATGAAGAGAAGCTGAATAACCTGTCAGACAAATAAATTTCTTAAGTCTGTTGGTTGAAGAGAGCTCACTCCCAAGCTTGTAGCTGTTTTGCTTTTTAATAAGATGCTTCACCCTAAACTGAGTAAGAGAGCTACTTGAAGCTGACTGTGCAGCATCTGATTTTGTTAATTTTGTTTAAAAAAACAAACAACAACAAAACATCTTGAAGCTTTCATATAACATCAAGAAAGAGCCAGTCAGAAAGGTGAGAGCACTCCACTCCAATATGCTCTCTGACTCTTGTGGGATATGTGGGTTCAAACTTTCTTAGGTAAAAGGAGGACTCTGATCTCCAGCATGCCATGCACGTCCATGCTGTACATCACTGGATAACAGGGACTTTGAGCATGGCCTCTGCCACCTCTTCTGCTTTTTACTGAAGATTTTTAGGTCTAACGATGTGTTGCTAAAAAAACCCCTCCTTTTTATTTTAAGAACAGGTAACATGGAAATAAAAGATACTTTTTTTCAAGTTGTAAATCTACCTATTTACTTAGCTTTTTTTGACATTAGTATCTGTTGAGTTTGACATTTTAGCCTCAGATTGGCAGTTATGTTAGATAGCAAGTTTGTTGGTGGATTATTGGCTTTAAAACACAAGAAAAGCATTGTAGGCTTGAGGAAGAGACAAGCAGCTGAAACCAAGGATGCCAATAAAAAGCAAAAGAACATTGCTGGAAAGAAACAGATTCTTTTCAGTGCATAGCTTGTCCAGCTTCTGTGGTCTTTGTTTAGTGTAAGCCTAGAAATGCAATGTAAAGGCTTGGACTTTGTATTAGGCTGTAAGAATTAACACTAAAATGCAGCAGTCAGTGTTTCTAGTTCAGAGATGGAAGCATCAATGCAGGTGCAAGACCCTCCTCTGTAATTCTGCCTCCAGTTCCAGGCATGATTTTCAAGAAGGCAGATTTAAACTGGAAAGAATTGTAGAGAAGAGGTGTGATGGTCAGAATGGAAAGATCCCCTCTGAGAGGAAACTGAGTGAGCACAACCCATTCGGCTCAGCAGAGTGAAGTCTGAAGAGGCATACGAATTCTTCCTGTAAATCCTTTGGGGAATAATAACTGGGAAGGGAAAGAACTATTTAAACTAAAGAACAATGTTGGCACAAGAGTTGCTAAGGACAAGCTGCCTGGGAAGTCATTTCGGCAGGTAGTCAGAATGTTTCCAGAGGTTCTGAACTTCAGCAAGGCTTTGAGGAAATCTTCTCATTTTTCATTTTAGCAGTTTTGTCCCTATTGTTTCTACTTTTAGTGTGTAGAATTTGGATCCTTTAAGAACAGAATTTTATAATTATTCCTTACAATAGCAGGAGCCCTGAAGGTCCCTTTCAGCCTTATTTCTTGAATATTAAGAGTTAGAATCCTCTTGGGTCATTGACTGTTCTGAACCTTTGGTCCATATTGCACTTTGAAGAAATCTGTGATGGCAGTGAAGTAATTCTGTTGAGCAGGCTTAGACCTTCCATGTAAGCATACTGATACTTTTAGTGGCTCCTGGGGAGTAATACAGAAGTTGAAAGGTCGGAAAAGCATCTTTAGTCAGATTTTGTGTTGTGTAGCCTGTGTGGCTATCAGTGGTGGTTCATTTACTCAACATAGTCTGAACAGTAAGTTTGTAATCCTACTACCACCAGTACATGTATATAACCTCTACATTTTCTAGTGGGACTCGTTGACAAGGACCTTCTAAGTGTATGCAAATGTTTCAGTACTATTTGACATTCAGTGATGGTCCCTGGTCTTCTATTGTCCTTTTAAAGTAGCAGCAATGATGCATTCTAGAAGCAATTCAGTTTTGATGAGAAAGTAAATGTGTATATGTTTCCCTGAATTACAGCCTTCCACTAAGTGTATTACAGCTAATAAATCTCATAATCCAAAGATAAAGGTCAAGAGAATAATCCTAAAGTCCAGTCTGAATCTTATTCGTGCTTGTTTCTGTACAAGTGTGGAGAGTTTCTTCAGTGCCATTGCCCTCTAATAATTTTACTGGTACCAGTTAGGGTAACTGGGATGCCTTTCTTGAAAATGGTAGTGAAGTGCCACTCGTTGATCTGAATGGAGAATTGTGTAACAGACCATGTTCTGTTAAATGTTAGGTAATGGCCCTTCTGGCTTTGTGCTCTTAGTGTTTATAAAACAACCTAAAATAAGGGAGAGGGGGTAGCAGTCAAAAAGAAATAAAAGGAAATCTAAAAGAAAGCTATGACTTCAGCTTCCTCTTCTATTCATCATCATTGAAAGAAAGGAACTTGTCCAGCTTAATGAAATGAGGAAGTTGCTGTACCAGCAGGCAATAACAACAGGTTTTAGGAAGCTAGGAGAGGACTGGATGCTGCTGCATTGGTGCTGTGAAGACCTTTTCTGCCATGATGTGATGAATATCTTGTGCCATACCAGACAAAGGGAATGGGATGGAAGGAGAAAAGAGATATGGGCTATTCCTTGAGAGTCCAAAACTGCACACATTCCTGTGTATGTACCCCCAGTAGAGTCACACCTGTCTCCCTTACACTCTGCAGTTGTGCAGTGACTGATCTGCTCATACAGTAAAGTTCCTAGCCTTAGTATGTTTTAAAAATCTCAGAAAATAGGGAAACTTGTGGATTAGATTTTTACTGATCCCTTGGATGAGGAGTTAGATAAGACAGTTACCAAAGGTTGTTTTTCAGTGCAACATTGTTAATCTTACAGTGTGCTGTTGCAAATCTACTCATCATTTGCAGCTGATAGTAGTAATGGAAGAACATTCTTGTTTTTTGATGCAGCCAACTTGACTTGTGTGAATTTTGGACTGTTCTGTGGTTCTGTATATTCTTCCCTCCTTAAAGGCATTTGTGTTTGCTTTGTCATCTCCTGCTTCTCAAGCACTAGCCTGAGGTGGGTTGCCTCATGTTGGGCTTCTTGATCTTCATAGTGATGGCTGTGGACTGTAGTAAGGAGACTGGGTAGGAAACAGCTGTAAAGAAAAACATGATGGTTTGTCCATGTGTATGATGCTGAAAAGCATTGTCTGATCAAATAGCTTTGGAGAGAAGTCAGCTGTGCATCCTGAAGTGTTAGAGGTGCTCCCAGTGTCAGAGATGCACCTTGGTGCTGTCAGCTTTAGTGCAGGGGCTGTAGTCTTCACAGCAAGAATTATATATATTTATGCTGGAATGACCCAGGACTTTCCTCAAAGCTTAACACTAGATTTACTTTTGGATTTAAGGGGGAGGTGCTCTTCACTTAGGATTGCTTGTACTGCAGAAATGCAAACCTGTTTGTGAGCAAGAATATGCTGTGTCAAGTTCTTTAACTGAAATGCCTTTCTTTTTAATTCTTACTGCTATTTTTTAAAGCCTAACAGTAAGGGAAAGTGCACTCTTGTTTATGCAATACACTTTGATTTGTCACCTTTCTGGAAAAAGAGAGTAAATTTTATGTGTTTTTCTTCAAAGCATCACTGTTCATCTTGGTATTAGAAATCATTGCTAGAGTTGGTATCCAGGAGCCATGTGCATTCCCTTGAGAAATTCAAGTTAGTGTAGTTTTCTGTTGCTTTTGTATTGATTCAGTGCTCTAGAACTCCAAGGAAAACTTTGGCCCCAAAAGCTGCATGGTTTGCCTCTTTCTAGTTAATTTAGTGTATAGATTGGTTTGTGGTTGGTAGAAGCTTTTGTCTGTAACTCTGACACATATAATTGAGACATATTGAAATTACTAAGAGATTTTGCTGCACTCCTGGTCATTTTTGAGATTGTTAAATAGTAACCTGGGATTCATGGAGGAAAATCTCCTTTCCTTAGGCAGTTCTTTCAGTTTAGATAAAGTGTGTTCCTAAATTTCATTGTCGTCCAAGGATTTCTTGTTTCTTGCTAGCACTGTTAAGGACCAGAGCATTTGTGCCCAGGAGGAGGGATGGCTAGTGTGACAGGGATATTTTTCTCCTCCCTCTCTAAGGCAAGGCTTTTCCCATTGATGGGAGAAGGTTAATGGATAACAGTGAGGGACATTGGGCATATCAGATCTGTTACCAAGCAGTTTCATTCTGTCCATTAACTATTCCAGTAATCTTATTTTCTATTATATCCCATGACCAATGTTTCTAGAACAGTCAAAAGAATTGCAAAGGGCATTCCTAAATGCTATGGCCTGCTCAGATACAGGTATTTTAGAGATTTAGCCCCCTGTTGCCTGAACTGGAAGGGTAGTGTTGCTGGAATGTCACACCAACTGTCAAAATTGCTCCTGTCATCATGTCTCTTTTCTCTTCCCTGCCACAGCCCACTGTTTGTAACGTGGAAGATTGGTCGAGATAAACGATTGCGAGGATGCATAGGTACTTTTTCCGCCATGAACCTGCATTCAGGACTCAGGGAGTACACACTTACTAGGTAAGATTTTGTTCTCTGTAGACTTGACTTACATATTTAAATAGTCTGTTGAGGAGATGATAGGTGTGCTTTGGGTTTTTTTGGGTTTTTTGGCTGTGTCACTGTACTGATCATTGAAAACCTGTGTCTCCTTTGGATGCTAAGTGTATTGCTTGGTTATTTCACTACTGCTGTCTTGAGGCTATGGTTTCAGTTAAAAAACATAGGTTGAGTCTATTTTCTTTTTATTGGTCTGGAAATGACTCTCCAGTAGCTTATTGTAACTGACTATTATAGTATTTTTTCCAGTGTTCAGACAAATTTTAACCTTAATAGTTAATGTCAGAGCAGAAGACCAGAAAGTCAGATATGGGGATTATCCTATTCACGCTTCTAAAACAGCAGGTATTCTCACCTCTTCTCCATCAGGTGCTTCCAATCAGCTGCAGTTAATTTAATGCTACAAATTTCCATTACATGTTACTCTTCAGATACATCCCAGCCCCTGAGTGGGAAGCTTCTGGATGAGGGAGGTAAGTGATGATAATACTTCACTCCCTGGCAGCATAATCCTTCATTTTTTGATCTACACCTAAATTCATTCACCTTAATATTGTTCCATTTCCTTTGCATAGAGTGAAAACTAATAAGTTTATCACTAGAGCTAGTAGCAAGCTTTCTACTTGTTTTTTCTAAGAGTTTTCTTAAGTTTATTCTCTAAAGAATCAATGGAATTTTGTTCCTCTCAGTACAATAGACTTTATAGTGCTTTAAAATAGAAGCTACATTCTGGCATGTGTAGACCTCTAAAATTGTCATCACTTAAAATAATTAGTGCTTCCAGATCACTTTAGATTTGAGGCTTTCCTCCATTACAGGACCTTCCTCTCTGCTGTTAAAATGCCTTGTCAATCCTGGTATTAAGTAATATTGAAATGGGACATGTTCTTTCTTACGTGTCTCCCTAGTTAGTTGCAACCTGAAGTTCATTTCATGCTTCTCTGCTCAGCTTGAAGAAATCAACTGCTCATCTCCTGGAGTCCTTACAGTCTTCTGAAAGACCTAGTTACCTTTATTGTGTTCAATTTATATATTATGTACTCTGGAATGTTTCTGCTTGTGTCCTTTAAAACCTCAGCAATCTAAATGGTCAATGAGAAGGAGCTTTCAATAAAATTCAAAGCTATTTCTTTGTTGAGGGTTCAAATTTTAACCATTAGTGAGCCAGACTGGGTGAAGAACAACTTGCCCCCTGCACTGGAGAGTGTTTCATTTAGATGTATACTTTATAGTGCCTGAGCAAGAACAATGAGCTTGTACAGAAAATTTTCCCCTAAGACAAGGAGGAAGGTGAGAGCCAAAAAAATAGTCTTTCTTCCTTGTAGATTTTTCCAGTCCCACAAATTAGATAGGGCTGTACTATTAAACACCTTTAAAATACCTTTAAGATTCCTGTCACTGCATTCTAACTCTGAAAGCTGAAGTCAAAATACATGAAAAGTGATGCAAATAAAAGGTAACTGAAATATTTTCAGTGCAGTATTTAAACACTGGCCACAAGCTGTGGAAGTTTGATTGAGGCTGTTCAGAGGATACATAGTTCACTAATTTTCAAGATGAGAAAAATGGAAGTATATACTAACCATTTTTTTGCAAAAATCTTCATGAGAACACGAGTTTTTTTAAAATTAAATATTATATTTAGTGACATACTGAATTTTTTGCCTTTTATGTGGAACCTTTTTTGTGTATGGCATCAAAAATGCTTCCTGTTGGTTTTTAACAAAAAAAACAACGACCAAACTTAAGATATGACCACTGACATGTAAAGTTCATATCTGATGTTCCCTTCCATCAAGGTGTTAGTGTTTTCAACTGCAGAGCTTCCAGAGGAGACCACTTGAGGAATAACAGAAGCACCTTTGGAATGTATGTGGGCTTTCAGAGTTTGGAGCTTGACAGGCCTCCCTAGGAGGGATCAGAAGCTAGGACATTATAGCTTGATCCAGCAGTATGTGGGCAGCAGGCTCCTGCAGAAGACATGACAATTCCTGAAAGAGAAGAACTTCTTCAGGGAAGACAAATTATTCAACAAAGTAGGCAGAATGAGAATGGACTCTACTTCAGAAAGTGGAACTTGACCAAAATTTTCATTCGAGGATACAGACAGATATTCCACTGAGTTTATTTTCCTTTGGCACTGGAAGGCACTTCTCGTCGGTTATTTTGAAGATACAGCATGGATAAACAGAACCAGGTTGCTTGTCTAGTTCGTTCTTATCTTTTTCAGCACCTTCTGTGGAATTGTGGCCCAGCATTCAGTGAGTAAAATGGTACAGAAGAACAGCTGTTCTTAACTGCCTTGGTGCTTAGCAATCAAGATATCCACAATTTCCTTCACACATAAAATTATTAAAAATATGCTGAATAATCCTTAGCATCACAATAAATGAATTTTTCCTTAATTCTTGTAGTGATTTCTAGTTGTATGTTGTATACAATGTGTAGCATACATATCTCTCCATACACTAGTGTGGTTTCTTCGAAGTAGCATAATGATTGTTCATCGAGGTACGTGAAGTGAAGAATTTGTTTCTTGGGACGTTCCCACCCTACACTTTTTGGGGTCTGTAAAACAAAAATGGTGATGATGTGTGACTGTTTCGAGCTCTGTAGGTTGTCGTACTGGTATTGCCAGTATTGTTCTAAACAGGAAATTTAAGTGGAGTGATTCATCATTAATTGGATGCATCTGCCTAAGTTGTGAGGAGGGATGAGAATACCCATAGTTAAAAATGCTAGTACTGTATTCCTAATAAAATCTGCATGTTAGATTTCAGTTTTCTCTGCGTTATTTCAGTGAGATACAGGGGAAAGAAAGTGTATTATTAACATCTTCTGCAGAACTTTATGAAAAGATAGATTCAAATTTATTAGGTAGTTGGGTAAAAATCTAACCATGTCCAAATGTTCTAAGGTGTTGAATATTGCATTTTAGACTGTAAGAAATGTTACCATGGTTGAAATAGTCCTTTAGGCTGAATGTGTTATTTGAATATCCCACCTGAATGCGTAAAAATAAACCAATCCAGATTATGAAAAATACCTTGTGTTTTACAGCTCCTTCAAGAAAATACACTGAACTTGGAAGCAGGTTACCACAGAATTTCATAACAGGTTGATAAATTACTTTTTCATGTATTCTGTACAGCAGTAAGACTTAGGGTTTGGCACTGAAGTTTTAAACTCCTGCTCTCATATGCTTGAGATGCTGAATGAAATTATTCACTTGTTCATTTCAGTTTAGTTTTTCTACCTATTTTATAGAATTTGAAGTCATGTTTTATGCCTAGTGGATGTAGCAAGTATGAGTGTATAAATCATGTTTTAACTCTGTTGGTTTGGCCTGTCAGGACTAGAATATATATCTGGGGAGAGAAATAGTAGAGAAGAAGCAGATAGAGGGAGATATTACATGACAAAGCCTGCTGTCAAGGAAGAAAGCAGTGAAGAAAAATTGAAGGACTCCAAGGCTTAAGTGTCTTAGCCTAATGGCTGAAAACTGGATTTAAATTTTAAAAGAATATGTAACCTACCCTCCTTTAACTAGCATAGGCCTGTCTTTACTGACTATATGATGTAATCAGTCTTTTTGTTGTGTGTTCTACTTACCACTCCACCTGAGGGAAATATGACTGCTGTCAGACATTCAGCCTAGATGTGGTTGATCAAGAAAAGAAAACAAAGAGAGAAGCTTGGGATGAGAAGCACAAGATTGAAGGAAATGAAACCTGCAACCCAACTTTCTCATAACTGAATTTGGGTATACATTCTATATGAGGATTTGGCTACCACTGGCATCAACTACTGCTCTTTGTCAGCAATTTCAAGAGTCTTAGTCCTTGTTGCTGCAATATCTCCTGCCCTGCTCGCGCTCTGTGACACAGTGACCCTTTCCTCCTGTTCCACACAGTAAAGTTAACCAACTGCAAGACAACAGTATGGCAAGCTAATTCAAGGGGTAAAATTGAAAAATGTTTACTGACTGATCACCTTTAATATGGATGTTGGGCTAATTGCTAAAGACTGGAGTCAAGTTATTTGTGCAGACAGGACAACTTCCCTCTTGTGTTTAGCTGAGGTTGCTTTATTTAATTCCTGTTTCTCATTACTAATCATAGCCTTGTTCAACCTTCCCTCTAATCAACCCCTACAGCTCAGTGCTAACTTCCCAAAGTCTTTACCACCAGGCAGTGTTGCTATGGGTGTAAACAGTCATTGCAATTGATCCAGGGCAAAGCATACTCATCTATCTGACTGCAATTTTTTGATCTGCAGAGTTGGGGGAATTACATATGTTTTTTTACAGTTGTTGTGACCTTCACTATTCACAGAAGTCATCAGTTGAATTAGTTTCTGCAAACAGCATTTCTCGTAATATTTCAGAACACATTGTTGCTTCTGTGTTGCCCCCTGATAATACTTTGCAGGCTGTCTTATTTTGTGGCTTTGATTTATAGTAGGCTACTGCTGAAAGTCAGCTTTTTTTTTTTTTTACTCTGTTCATATTCTGTATCGTATGGTCACCAGTGAAAAATGCCTGATAATTGTGAGATGAAGCTCACACTAGCACATTCGAAATTGAACTCTGCAGAGAGCAATGTAGGTTTGTGAGAGGCTGAACCCACCAGGGTTATGCTATTCTTCTATGTTTAATGTTGTGTGTAAAGCCAGGAAGCATCGTGTTGCTTCCTTTATTTGTACTTTTCTGTGAAAAGCTGGTGTCTGCTTGTTACCTCTGAGTTTTCAAGAGTGTAGTATTGAGACAGAGGGCACAGATTTCCCCCCTACTAAAGGATGATCAGCAGCACATGTATATTTGTATATAGCACATATCATACATAGCACATGTGTATTCTGAGCCAGAATGGCCCAAGTATATTGAGACAGTTTAGCAGTAAGCTTTGCTTTACTAATTAATGTGTATATTTATGATGGTGTTGACCTCCAGAGGTATTTTT